GTTGAATATATCTGAAAAGTAAAGAAAGTACAGATATTCTGTACTTGCGTCCTAGTTCTGACGGAGACAAAAAAGTAGAAGAAGGTCTTTTGATAATATAATTATGGTAGTTTTTGATAAGATTCTCAGATAAATATCAAAGTGATGGATGTAAGCCTTGTATGCCAATTGTTTCGAAGGTGTGAGTGTGGGTGTGGGTATGGGTTTCACCATCCACATCCACATCCAGACACTCTGATCACTCAAAAAACTGTCTCGTGAATAACAGTAGGCCATGCAAGCTCGAGTGGTAATGTTTGCTTTCAGTTTCAAAGCGATTGAAGAGGCCTCTAGTAGGATTTGTGCAATTCCATATTTTTCTATCATGGAACATAAACAGCTGATATATTGAAAATCTTCCTTTCGGCCTCTCAAATCGTTTTAAAACTGAAAACAAACGTTACCAATTGACTTAGCATGACCGACTGTTACTCTTGAGACAGTTTTTGAGTGATCAGAGGTCAACTTAGCAAAATTTGAGGATTTTGCAACACTTGTCTATCTCTCGAAAGAAACAAGCTAGAGATCTCAGTTTTGCATAGATTGGGTGTGGATGTAGTTCTTGATCTTCTTCTTACTCACACCTACACCCTACTATAGAGACATGACTTTTTTTGTATTTTGCTTTTGTATTCGAAAGATTTCGATCGAAAAAGTGATGATTTCGGTAATAAGCAATAGGCGTCGAAATGTGCCATTCGGCTTGCTCGACCCGAACTCTATTTCTTTTTCGGAGAAGGTCTTTCATGTGAAAAAAACAGAAAAAATTGATTTTAGTCGAATTTTTTCTAGCTGAAAAATCTATTAGAATGATGTTAGTTGAGTACGATAAAAATCTGTTTTTTTTTTCAACTTTGAAGATAGATTTGGGTGTGGGAGTGGGTGTGCGTGAAGGACTTATCTATGCTCATACCCACACCCACACTCTTTGCCACTTGACAAGTTTCTTTAGTAAACTCGAAAAACTATTTTAGTTTTGTGGTTACTATTCACAGCCACACCCACCCCCTTTAGAGGGCAATTTATTAAATTATTGGAGAAATCCATTAAATTTGGCGGGTAATATGTTCAACTACAGGGGCAACAGAAGAATATACCAAAATTGGCAATATCAAAATATATTTTCAAATATGAATCAAGAATTTTATCCTCAAATGAATTATCGTCGAAATATTTATTATAATCGTAATTATTGACCACAGCCATATTGTACTGGTTATGGAATTGCTAGTCAGCTTGTTCAACCACTGGCACAAAGAAGATTTGTTCGAAGAACTCCTACGACAAGAATAAGTCAAAATTGGTTAATAAGTTGTTCAAATCAAAGACGAAGTCGATCAAGACAACAACGTAGACGTGTTCCACGACAAATACGTTTAAATGATTTTATGCCAGCAGAACTATGTGAAGCTTCACCAAATCTTCCTGTCGATTTTAATCTAGCTACAACACTAGCTACAACTATAGCTTCAAATATAAATAATGTGCCATTTGATGCATTACCAAAACGTGCAATTTTTGCTACAAATACAACTCAACCTTTTGCTGTTAATAATGAAAATAATATAGATATAAATAAACAGCAACAGCAACAAGCTTATGGTTCAAATCAGGAGCGACCAAAAATAACAACAACATCATTTCGACGTCGACAAACACGAATTCGCCAACAACAATATCGTCAAAATCAAAATATTATTGAAAATAATCGATTTACTGTACTGGCTGAAAATAATCTTGATGATAATGGTGATGTTGATTTAGTATCAAATGTTGATGAAAATGAACCAGTTTTGGCTACAAATAGAAATAAGAAAAAGAAAAATCGAGCATACTTAGCATATGATCGTATAATGACATGGATACAAAATGATACATCTCTAATTGATATTATTGATGCAAGTGGTAATCATGCTTATTTAATGGCTTCAATTCCTATATATGATGAATGGATTCGAGCTAATTATCATATACAAGTTTGGCAAAATTATTTAAAAATGGGTACTGAAAATAAGCATTGGGCAAAAGAACTCGTTCAACATACTAAGAAACGTGATGATTTTGTTAAGATACGATTTGTAAAAAAGAAAATTAATCAATTATCAGCTACAATTGCTCAAGCGAATGCAACTATATCAGATTTAAAAATTCAATTACGTGCTTACTGGTCACAAATTCCAGGTTATCAAAAAAGAAAAGTAACAGCTGATGATATAACTCAAACAGTTACTGCTGCAGAAACAAATACAACGACTACAACAACAATTACAGCAGCAGCAGTAACACCAAAACTAATGGTTGTTCCATTAAGTATTGATAGAATTCGAAGTAAAACTAATGAACTTGGAAAAGTGATACTAAAATATTTACAACATTGTACTCAACAAGTAAAGAAAATGCATGAAACTCGTATTCAATTAGCCAAAGTTCAAATGGATGAATTTAAAGCTTTAGAAGATTTTGAACAAATAGCCACCCCAGCTCAATCGAATACTCATTTCTTACTCAAACCTAAAATGAAGTTATGGTTAATAAAAAATAAAAATTATCAAATTTTATCGAAATGTGTTGAATTAGATATGCCTCCAAAAACTATTGATAAAGTTGATTTTTCTTTTATAATTGATGAATCAATTATAAGTCAAGATGAAGCACAAGCCATGCATAATAAAATGCATCAAATTACAAAAGATTTTCGTACTCAAGTAATGACATCATATGTTCGATCAGCTGCTCGAGAAAATGAAATCTTATCAAATGAAATCAAAGGTATTGTTGAAAGATTTCCTAAAGAAAATGATGATGAATTTGATGCTGAACCTGCCTATGCAGCTTTTAAACAATATCATGAATTATGACAGAAAAGAATGAAATTAGAAATTAAACAAGCACTTTATTTTTTATTCGAACAGCGAGTCGAAGGCGAAATCAACAATCCAGAAGAAGAGATGATCGCTCCGACTCTAATACGTTCGCTGGGCGAGGAAATCTTGTTCCAGCCATAATTAATGAAGCACAAATTCAATTAACCGAGGAAGAACATCAACTATTAAAATTAGATCCTCGGCTTATATATAATGATCTGAAAACGGCATCTCGACGACGAATAACTGAGTTGGCTACACTTAAACGTAAAATTGAAGCTCGTTTTTATGAGAAAAAAAGTTA